TTGCAGCGGGCCATCCCCCCAGGGGGTGATGTCTCTCTCTCTGTCTCTCTGTCTCTCTCTTTCTGGCAAGTACACACACCCTATAGCAAAACCTCTAAAATAAATAAATAAATAAATAAATAAACCTCCCTAAGGAAGACATACAAACAGCCAAAAGACAACAGACAAAAGGAAAAATGCTCAACTTCTCTCATCATAAGGAAGATGCAGATCAAAACTGCAATGAGATACCACCTAACCCCAGTCAGAATGGCAAAGATTAAAAAGAGAGAGAGAGAGAGAGAGATAAGTGCTGACTCCTCTGTGGTAAAAGTGGAATTCTCCTACATTGTTGGTGAGAATGTAAAGCCACTATGGAAAACAATATGGAGGTTCCTCAAAGACCTTCAAATAGAACTACCATATGATCCAGCAATTCCACTCCTGGGTATCTACCCAAAGGACAGGAGAACACTCAGTCAGAAAAGTGCTTGCACAACTATATTACAACATTATTCACGATTGTTAAGATATGGAACCAACCCAAATGTCCACAAACAGATTAATGGATTGAAAAAGTATAGCACATATACTCCATGGAATACTATTCATCCATTAAAAGCAACAAGATCCTGACATTTAATAGAAAGTGGATTCCTCAAAATGGATTCATATAGAAAACTTAATGTTGAGCAAAGTGAGCCAGACTTTGAAAGATATATATTGTATCTTTCCATTCTAGTTGTGCTAAATATGGCAGTTTGAGAGATCTAATTACTCTATTAAATTTAAATTTAACTTAATTTACTCTAATTTAATATAATTTAATGACTTCAGTTTAATTACCATAGTTAAAATGAAAGTAATAAAAAAAACTAAGTAATTTATTCTCTATAGAAACTGTATTTCTACTGCTACATAACAAATTGCTTAAATCTTGGCAGCTCAGGACAACATTTATTATCTCCTCCGGTTTCCTGTCCATACCTGGTGGAAGCCATACAGTCAACACAGGCAGAACATGGGGAGCTGCCTCTCATGTTTAAGCAAGGCTTGGCTGAGAAGAACTGTAGGCAAGGCCACAGTTACAAGCTCCAGTTTTTCAACTGTGTTTGTTGTACTGGCTTGTGCCCAACTTCTCTGCCATGAGCTTTACTGACGGTACCCCATAAGGGCAAAATATCACCCCCAGCCTACTGTAACTTTTACAATAATCTTGAAGGAATGCGGATCCCTAATGTGGCGGCGAATGGGAATTATTTCCTGAGACTCACCCCACCTGTCTGGAAAATGTCAATAAAGAATGTTGCATTCGCCTCTCCTACTGGGGATTACATAGATAGCATTAGAAAGGTTTGAGTTAATGGAAAGCTACTAAATTGGTGAAATGACCTCAGTAGCTGGGGGAGGCTTAGGGACTCATCCATGAGGTACTGATACCCCAAACAAAGACCATGAGCCACCTTTGATCTCAGGACAAGGGAAAATGGCTGTTCCCCAAGCCACAGCCATTGTATAGAGTAGCAGATAGAGGGTCCCAAGTACACAGTAACCTTAGGTCAGTCACTAAGCTGCTCACAAGACTACATTCCTTCCCCATATGGACAATAGGCTCACCCCCTTAGTTGTAATATAGATATTCCACTTTAGTATATATTAACCATGTCTTTACTTAACTAGACAAGATTTCTATCTAGGCCTTTGTAACTGGCAATGCTGCTGCCCTGGCCCAGGACTGAAGTTATCAAGCTGGCCTGGGACTGAAGTTATCAAGCTTCCTGCAAGTCCCCTCTTCAAAAGACCCTTCCTAGTAATCAAGATCTAAGAAAATGCACCAGACTAATGGACTCCCTGGCCCTGAGAACTGTAACTGATTATACCTAATCAAACAGAACAGTACATGTTTTATGATTATTGTTCCTACACTTTAAATACCTCATTTTTTAGAGTAAATCTTTTACTTCCCCCTCACCCCTCCTACTTCTGTAAGATATCCCTCAACAAATATGTATATATCCTAGCCACAGAGGCTGCAGTCTTGGGCTTGCTTTGATTGTAGTCAGCTGAGAACATGCTAAAGAGCATTGAGGTTTCAGTCTGATTCCTTCTCTCCTGCGTCGCCTTCCTGTGTACGAGCTTCAACCCACCCTGGCTGGAGCAGGTCTCCGGCACATGCCCAACAAAGCATGTGGGGGTGGGAGATGGGGAGGTGGCGCACCCCAAGTGGAAGCGGGCGGTGGATTGGGAAAGAACAGACAAAAAGACGGACAAGTAGAGAAAGCGGGAATCAGGCGGACCGAACGTCTCTGATGGAGAACGCCTCGGCGCTGAGCCGTTCCCGGGTTTATTCTTTCATAGAGC